ATCCCTCGCCCATACATGATATGAGCTGGTGGACTCCTTCCCAGTCATATAATGGTGATGGAATCCCTCATCCATACATGACATGAGCTGGTGGACTCCTTCCCAGTCATATAAACTGATAGAATCCCTCACCCATATAGGATATGAGCTGGTGGACTCCTTCCCAGTCATATAAGATGATGGAACCCTGCCTAAGATATAAGTTGGTGGACCCATCCCCAAATATATGGACCGTCTTATGATATAAGCTTGTGGGTCCCTTTCCTGCATGGGTGGAGGCTGATGAGCTTATGAACCACCACTCCTGGATATAAGTGTTGACAGTCCCCTCTCTCCCGACATATTGGTCCTCTCTCTTGGTTGTGCTTTCTTGGTATATAGAGGTGAGAAGAATAGTTTGCAATGTTAGATCAGGTGAGATAAGACACTAAAGGTTGACTACAAGTGTTTGCAGAACCAGGATTTAGTTAGATATTTATAGAGAAATTCCGCTGACACAAACTGTCACAACACTTGACAATCGCCCAAGTCATGACACGTCTAATATATTAAATGTAGTTTTAAGTACGTGAAGGTCAATAAAGGTTCTTGGTTTATCAACAAAGATAAACACTGAAATAATCATGATTATTGGCTGTTGGTTTCGAACACAGTAGAATTAGACGAGTTTCGAGTTGTCGGTCGCGAGTCCTTGTCCGGGAGAACCCGAAACTCATGTATTATCCGTTGCATACAGTACTGACGGCCCCTGAATCCCGCGTCGACAATCCACGAATCCAGAGCCGACAATCCACAAATCCGACATTTCACGAACACATGATTTCAATGATAACAACCCACGAATACAATACGGATGATCCACGAATCTAGTGCAGAAATTCCAAGAATACAGTGCCGAAAATCCACGAATCCAGTGCCGTCGATCCACGAATTCACGATATAATCAATATCGATACCACATAGCATAGTAGAAAGAATGTAATTTCTTGTATTGAAATGTCAGATCATAATTGTATTTTTGTTTATAAAGTTTGACATGATTTTAAGAAGTGTCGAAAATCAAACTTTTCAATTTGCAATTGGCTAAAAATAAGATCCACACACATTAATAATTATAATAAACATTTGTACACTTTTAAAAGAAGGATTAACTTAAATTTGTTATTACTTTTATTTAATTCAAAACTATCAAAGGACTAACTGAGACAGCTGAATAATGCATGACGAATAAAATTACTACACAAACAAAATAACACTAAGTCATAACATAATCTAAAAAAAAAAAACTAGCAAAATATTAGAGTTGAATACTTCGTTTTTAAAATCGAAGAGAGTATCGGTGAAATCAAATAAATTACTTATTAAACCGTAACCTATGTTTTTCAAAGACTTTTTCTATATTAATACGTGCCTGACTTACACATGACCACACGGTCAATGCGACGAATAAATAAAAAAAATGAGGTTACATCATCTAATGAAATATTGTATTTGACAGCATTGATTTCATGGGAATTAATATTTTAAAAAAGTCGTAGAAATATGAATATCAAATGCAGACGAAATGTTCCATCCACTTAATCGAGTGGTACTAAGGACTTTCGTGAAGTATTTGAGTCTGGTACTTTGTTTATTTCATACATGTGTTTCGACGCGAGTGGATTCTTAAATCTTTGCCCCCGTGCAGAATAATTGCTATCTGTGGTAATTCTGAACCAAGGTGAGGGTACTATATATTTCACATACCAATCCCGAGACCCCAATTCTGCAATTCTTGTTATTTGTACTGCGACTTGTTTGACAATCATTTCGATGTAACTGACTGAGTCACCTATCACCAAGTGAAAGTGTGCCGGATTGGTCCATTACGCGATTTTAATCTAATTCCAACCAATCAACACGCTAATTGCAAAGGGCATATACGCCCATCGAGAGCGTCATGCCCGTACGATTCGATTCGATTCGAGCCATGTCATATCTTTATTGCGTATTAAATCCATATCACAGAGGTATAACAGATATGCTTGTAATCATTATCAAAATGGGCTGTCCTAGTGTATGTACACCTAATCTCGGGGCACGCTGTTCATAATTGTTCAAGGCAATTTCCCTTACCCCCTCCCTCGAATATGATATTACCTCGGTAAATCGTGACACTGTGTTCATTTCATTGCATATGTTTTGTTCTAATACGAGCTTCACATAACAAGTCAATAATTTTCACTCATACATGTGGCACTAATAGGAATGTTATTAAAGGTCGTTGCGCAGCGCGTGTTCGAATTTCGCGTAAACGACCATGGTATTTTAAAGGCGCTGTGCACGTCGCTAGAAGTCATATATTGAACACGACCCGGCGGCGCGACGACCACTGCCCTTCTATACATGATAACATCCCACGAGAAGGATGAAAAAAGATACTAGTACAATTTAAAAACAAATAAAGCTCAACGAAAGATAACACTGATTAGGACAAAACAAAGTAAGGTGTATGTTTGTGTTCACGTTGCATACTTGAATACATTAAACTGTCGTATTGGCGTGTCATAAACCGCGGCTCCGGGTGTTTACACGAGGCAATTCGTGAGGCAGCGTACAAAACAACGCATGGGGCACATCGGCGACATTAACGAATACACTGTATTCGCAGTTTCCGAAAAACCCCGACATGGCGGTGTTTCAGATGACGTTACCTGGCTCCATTAATCATTGATTTTTTCAGCATCTAAAACCATTCGTTTCTTTGAGTTTGGTACAGTGTAGAAACCATTACAAAATATTGCTCATCTTCAATGTAATTACGCTTTACAGTGTTCACAGGTCCATTCATTGACCGGTACAATATCATAGCGATCACATGCAATTTGTGTATATCCGTAGGTGGTAATACTTAATCTGATAAGCGATTCTCTAGAGGAATCATTTTTAAATCAATTAAGTATTTTTCAATGTGGAAATCTTTATTCTTTAAATCAGTTCCGTCAATGTTGATTTCTTTGGATGTATCCGTTTTTAATTTTTATAAATATTTTGATACAGAAATTTGTATTCCCTGTTACTGTTACTAGTAATTGTCATTGATGTTTGTTAACGTTGGTTAGATTTCATGCTATCATTTGCTCTTTAACTGTCTGTTTACTATCATGGCTCCTTTTATGTGTTCCCGCTGTTACTAGCACGGTTGTCGAATGTTTTATTTGTTTTGGGGTGAAAACCTCAAACAAATAGCGAGAAGGGTGTGTTGAGAATGATTCAAGTGATTCCGTTTTGACTCAGACTAGTAATACACTTACTAGTCTGAGGTTTTGAGCACAATCACCCCACCCAGTCAAAGATCGTTTGTAGCGCAAAATAAGACTTTTATAAAACTCTATTCCGACACCATGTACATTGGGTCTGTACACGGACCAAGTATCTAATTAGCATTTCCGTTTTATGGCAGTCTTATTTTTACGTTTCAAGAGACTATGGTACCATAACACAACAAATCCTTCTCCATTTCAGCAATAGAGGGCGTTGTTTATAACGACGTGGATGGTAAGATATCCACAACTGATTGACGGACATCAATGCACATAATAATCTGTGATGTATGTGACAAAATGTTGTTAATTCTGATGTTACTGGACAATCGGAAGTATGTGTATATACACTGAGTTGAAGTCATGGAGCTTCTTTAGTGTCATGAAAATACTACAGATAAAGGGCCGCTCGGGATACTTGTTGTGTCGATGCTTTGATTGACTCACATGCACCAGAGCACTCTTATACTAACAAATTCACCTTATATTGGAGGTCAAACATTTGAAATCATGGAGGTGGCTGGGAGAGTGTCAATTTTTCTCGGTGTCTTGCCTAAACAGTATTTTTTCTTGAAACTGCCAATATTTTTTCTCTGCAACACTTTGTAAAACAACATTTCTCTCTGTGTCTAAACTTCCAGCCACCCCATGATTTCAAACGGTCGACCCCCTCCCACATTTATATGTTCTCCCATAATAATTGAAAAGCATCCGTTTCTTGTGTTCTTCTTGTCCTTTTCGAATTCTCTACAGATGCAAACTGTTAAATTAATGCATTTATCGCATGAGTTATGGGTCTGCGTGGTCGCATATGTAATCATTTTCACGTCATACAATGTACAATGTAACTTACAAAAATCTTGTCCCAGATGCAGTTACAGACCACTTTAGTGAAATGGACAACACAGATCTTTGCGGGCGTAGTCGCTATATACTTTTAATATGTACCGAATCTTCTGGACAACGACAACGGACAAATACATAGACACACAATTGAGTATGTATATATTATTGAGCGGACTTAACACGGTTGAAAAACAAAATATCAAATTCCCGAATCCCCCGTTTCTTTCTCGCCATATTACCGGTAAAATTATCGTCAAAATTGCAATTTTAGGGGGATGTCTCATTGCCAGGTGATCGTGACTTGAATACATGATCAGTTTATAGATTACACCGCCATTTCATATATGCAATTGCCTACCGTGGTATTTGCTCCCGAACTTGACCTATCTCACATAAATCATAACGTTGCTTTTGTTCACTGCCTGTCACTCATTTGTTTGCCGTAGTCGTTGCTTTTCACCTGTTTTTAAACAGCTACTAAACATGGCAACGGACCAAATAAAATACCTATAGTACCGAGTGACTGGGTAAATAACCTACACAAGACGGTGAGCTGCGAAAATTCCACCGCACGGCGATTCCGGTAGGGCCATCCAAGTTGGCAATGTAACAATATGTTTACATGTTTTGCTGGGTAGATAACGTGGCCATCTTATAGTGTTTTACGATAAAGGCACATTCAACAAAATAAGAATAAATAAAACATCATAGCGTCCTCAAAGATGCATTTCGTTTTCTCGAAATAAAAGTTCGATTTATTACAGCCTATCAGAACTAACAAGGAGCCATTGAACAGAATTAGGCTTTAGCCGTGACGACGTACAACGCGTCATTAGGGATGGCACAGATTGCATGTGGAATTTGTACCAGAGTGTACCAGACGGCGTAGTTATTGACCAGAGTGTACCAGACGGCGTAGTTATTGACCAGAGTGTACCAGACGGCGTAGTTATTGACCAGAGTGTACCAGACGGCGTAGTTATTGACCAGAGTGTACCAGACGGTGTAGTTACTGACCAGAGTGTACCAGACGGCGTAGTTACTGACCAGAGTGTACCAGACGGTATAGTTACTGACCAGAGTGTACCAGACGGCGTAGTTACTGACCAGAGTGTACCAGACGGTATAGTTATTAACCAGAGTGTACCAAACGGTGTAGTTACTGACCAGAGTGTACCAAACGGTGTAGTTATTGACCAGAGTGTACCAAACGGTGTACTTACTGACCAGAGTGTACCAGACGGTGTAGTTATCGATCAGAGTGTACCAAACGGTGTAGTTACTGACCAGAGTGTACCAAACGATATAGTTACTGACCAGAGTGTACCAGACGGTGTAGTTATCGATCAGAGTGTACCAAACGGTGTAGTTACTGGCCAGAGTGTACCAAACGATGTAGTTACTAACCAGAGTGTACCAAACAGTGTAGTTACTGACCAGAGTGTACCAAACGGTGTAGTTACTGATCAGAGTGTTCCAACCGGTGCACTTACTGACCAGAGTGTACCAGACGGTGTAGTTATCGATCAGAGTGTACCAAATGGTGTAGTTACTGACCAGAGTGTACCAAACGATGTAGTTACTAACCAGAGTGTACCAAATGATATAGTCACTAACCAGAGTGTACCAGACGGTGTAGTTATCGATCAGAGTGTACCAAACGGTGTAGTTACTGACCAGAGTGTACCAAACGATGTAGTTACTAACCAGAGTGTACCAAACTGTGTAGTTACTGACCAGAGTGTACCAAACGGTGTAGTTACTGACCAGAGTGTACCAGACGGTGTAGTTATCGATCAGAGTGTACCAAACGGTGTAGTTACTGACCAGAGTGTACCAAACGATGTAGTTACTAACCAGAGTGTACCAAACAGTGTAGTTACTGACCAGAGTGTACCAAACGGTGTAGTTACTGACCAGAGTGTTCCAACCGGTGCACTTACTGACCAGAGTGTACCAGACGGTGTAGTTATCGATCAGAGTGTACCAAATGGTGTAGTTACTGACCAGAGTGTACCAAACGATGTAGTTACTAACCAGAGTGTACCAAACGGTGTAGTTACTGACCAGAGTGTACCAAACGGTGTAGTTACGACCAGAGTGTACCAAACAGTGTAGTTACTGGATATAGTGTACCACGCGATGCAGTTACTAACCAGAGTGTACCATGCTGTGTAGTTACTGACCAGTGTGTACCAAACGGTGTAGTTACTGACCAGAGTGTACCAAACGGTGTAGTTACTGACCAGAGTGTACCAAACGGTGTAGTTACTGACCAGAGTGTACCAAACGGTGTAGTTACTGACCAAAGTGTACCAAACGGTGTAGTTACTGACCAAAGTGTACCAGACAGTGTAGTTACTGACCAAAGTGTACCAAACGGTGTAGTTACTGACCAGAGTGTACCAGGTGGTATAATTACTGATCAGAGTGTACCAAACGGTGTAGTTATCGATCAGAGTGTACCAAACTGACCAAAGTGTACCAGACAGTGTAGTTACTGACCAAAGTGTACCAAACGGTGTAGTTACTGACCAAAGTGTACCAAACGGTGTACTAGTTACTGACTAGAGTGTACCAAACGATGTAGTTACTGACAATAGCATTTTTGTGGTGGCTTTATGAAAGTATTAGTTTTGCTCAGTGTGAGTTCATACGTAATATACAGAAAATATCTTTGACTTTTACAAGCTGACTTCGCGTTCACTTTTGCAAACCTAGTGTTGAATGTTGATTACTTAAATGTATGGAATTGGTTTGTCATTCATATTACGTCACGTGTTAAATTTCGTTCCATCGTTGTATAGCTTGCTTCTGTGAGTGTCCAATAAGTAGAATGTATATTCAGTCGATAGCGCCTGAAACGAAAACAGTCGAATAATAATATTCTTTCCTTTTCGCAATAAAAACGGACAAACCGCACATACTTCGAAGTGTCTAACCTGTCCACTTGGTTCAGATGTCAAGTTGAAATATCCTGTTTACAACCACACAGTGTTTACTTACCTAAATCTAAAGTTGGTTACAATAATTTATTGGGGATTATTGGTAACCAAGAAAGAAGTTCGGTCATTGGACTCCCACTGAGATTGCCATGGTGACCACCCTTGGACTTGGTTAAAATCACATTGTGTATTAGCCATATCTACTTCAGCGAAACATGGCACCACCATATACGAGGGGAATTAAGGAGAACATAAACTGGCTAAGTAGTAGTAATTCACGTTCAATGTTAGTGACCCATAATATATACAGCTTTATCTCAAGTGGTGCGATTTTTAACGTTTTTTAAAATTAATTTTGCATATTAATAATATATTATTATTAATTAATTCATGTGAATACATGATTATGGTTTACCATTTATTAAAAGCTTTATTGTTATACACAAAACAGCGTTCGGTCGGCGGAATTCGGATCCAGGCAAACGCGCATGCGTAAGCATTTTCTGTGCGTACTATTAATTTAAGGGGCGGCAGTCGTCGTGTCGCGTCCTGTTCGATATGGGACTCATAGCGACGTATACAACGCGTGTAAAATACATTGTTTATTTACATGAAATTCGAACACGCTCTGCGCTGCGCGACGACCACCGCGCTTTAACGGAGCAATAGCAGAATTTCGCACGACAAAAGTAGGGGTGGTCGGTGTTGATTCATTTCTAGTCAGCAAAAATATGCAGTATTAGGCAGATATTTTACTATACTAGCTTCAGTTTTGAGCCGAACATGTTGATTCTGTACTCTTCAAAGGGTTACGAAATGTTCTTAAAAACGCAATGAAGTCGAACAAAATATATTTTATATCATTTTGGCATCTGTAGATATAGTTACAGTAAGATGTTCCTTGTGGGCAAATACAACTTGTGAAAAACCTAAGTTAACACGCTCACAGACGATTGGTTGTAAAATCGATATAAATATAAACTATCGTTATACCCGCGCCAGGAAAGTATTGGGTTCAACTCTCATGGTCGGCTGAAGTCAACAGGTGACAAGTGACGTATTCCTCTCACAGTACGTGTTTGTATGTGCCCGAGTCTATTGACAGAAATGATATGAGTATGGAATATGCATCTTTAATCCGATAAATACTAAATAAATACATGTAAATGAATATATATATATATACTGTAAAATACTTTTCGCTGAAGAAATGATTCAGTGAAAATAAAATCTAGCTAATATACCCCTTTTCCTATATTTTACATTCAACTCGTCAAAAATCAGTGAAAATAAATTCCAGCGAATATACCTCTTTCCCTATATTTTACATTCAACTTGTCAAAAATCAGTGAAAATAAATTCCATACAAAACATCCAAAACGTCTTTTCAGCGAAAATTAATGCCAGCTACTATATTGTCATGTTGTCGGAATTCATTCCAGGATAATGTGGCCAACTTTAATATAAGATTTACTGTATAAAATGATTAATTTTCACTGGGTTTAAATTTCACTGATTTCGTATTTCAGACATGTTCGGTTGGTTTTAAATTCACGGTTATATCATTTAGATAATGTGTTCTATGCTAAATTTTATATATTCACTGGGTTTTAATTTACCATATTTTCCAGTCAGTGAAATAAGCAAAAGTAAGACCCAGTGTATAATTAACCCTTTTACAGTATTTCTATTTTTTGAAAAGATTTTTTACCCCATATATTTATAATTAATTCACAATATTTTTAGTTAGTGTTTTAATCGGGAGGTGGATATTGAGTGAATGAGCACGATCTACATTACAAGATTCCATCCAAAAACATCGAATTTTAACATTTGTGGTCATTTGAGTCATTTGTTTTAAATAAACAAGTAAAATATACCAAATAGTAGATTGATATGCAAATTAGCTGATTGATACTCATGAATTGAATTAAAATCACCTGGCCTACTCGCCAAGATCACTTTTTGAACACTGTATGACGAATATGCCTCCGAATTCAGATGCTTGCAAAAAAAGCGCAGTCGCTCAGCGGGGAAGGACAATTACCAAAGGGTACCTAGATGATGTCATGCCCAGGGCAGTAATCGTTAGACACTATAATAATTTCAGGTCAGATACACCAGGGGTGTCTGTTTTTACACACATGTAAAGCGTTTTATCCGAAAACTTGTGAGAACACCTAAAACCACCTGCTAATTGCGTAGTCGGTCAGAAAGCGGCAGCTAGATGGACAGCACGCGGACTTGTATTAGTTCCTATATTTCCTGCTAGAAATGCCGCGTGACTGGAAATTGAACAGAATATTCCTGCTTATACAAGAGACAAAGCCCGCCGCAGCGATTTCCGCGGTGCTGACACGCTACCAAGTTTTATCCCATTGACATGTGTAATGAACAGCGAAACAATACACAGTGTATATATATCATAAACAATATAAACACAAATATTCGTCCACTTTTTAAAAATTAAATATAATTTATCTAGAGTGTACAATATCACACACATTCACTAAACTGGGGAACCTGTTATTGCGACACGAAATCTTTGTTTGAAACTTGCTGTACATTTGAACTCGGTGACTTTTATCGACCGTAAACCGTCGAGTGCTTACTGGTATAGTTAACGACTCGCTTTGATACCTGTAAAAAAAATTACGGCGACTTTTGGTGATGCCATTCATATTAAAAAGACCATATAAACTATTTGATGTATTTATTTCATATATATTTATGAGCCTTGTAGTATAGAGGCCCCAGGTCGAATAAACTGGCCATTGTAGCCCGACTAAGCCCTGTGTTCTACGGATTTACCAACCGGATGATCTTGTATATCAAGGTACATACATGTATACTAACAAGTATATGGTAAATTGTGTGTTTTTTGTCGACAATACGAGGCGTGCATTTTCGATGGAATGCCGACTGCCACGGACCCCGGGTATTGGACTGTCGATATACCGCGGTACTCAGCTGACCAAGTAAACTAACGGTGGGAGCGAAGGCTCCTGTTACCCTTTAACCCCTAATGAGTCGCTGTGACAGTACTTATTGCCGCTACTTCTACAACTGACCTAGTAATAATACATCATATAATATCAATTGGATTCGGCTAATGATGACAGCTCATGCATGGTACCGACTGGTATAGCAAACGTCCCAGTGTGATTTATCGAAAAAAAAACCATACAATTTTTCTCTCAAAACAACTGAATAAACTTTACACACAGTTTATACAAACTTGGGGCAATAAGAGTCCAGTAGGACGGTGATAATCCATTCCTAACTACTCAATGCCGATTATGTTGTAAATTTTGTGATTTTTGTTCAATCTTGTAGCGGCAATCATAGCATTGTTTTAATTTAACCAAAACACACAATAAATGGGAGCGAAAATGTTATAACGGGATTATATCTAGAAATCTATATCACACTTATCGCCGAAGTGATGGACGTATTAAAGTAGGGACTAGACAAGTTTCCAGTTATAGTCTTGTTTTATCTTTCTTATAATAAAATAAATCACGTTCACATTTTACATTTGGGATATCAATGCACTAGTACCTTTGTATAAAGTACGATTGTCGCAGAGCGATGTGAGGCCCGGTTAGAGATAAAATGACAGTGATATCGCCCGTTGTAATAGATAATTAATAAAACAAATGGTAGATTCTACGTGAATGGTCTATGAACCAATGTTTTCCCTCTAATCGACCAAACAATAATCTATCTAACACATTCTCAAAGTTTATTTCAGAAACTTAAAGGGCGGCAGTCGTCGTGCCGCGTCCTGTTCGATATGAAACTCATGGCGACGTATACAACGCGTGTAAAATACATTGTTTATTTTACATGAAATTCGAACACGCGCTGCGCAACGACCACCGCTCTTTAAAGCTGCATCTTCTAATATTGGTCCCATTCGACGTAATCAACTTGTTTTCACGAAATTCGAATGCGCGCGACGTGACGACTATCGCTTCCAGTGTGACTATGGCACAGCTTGACGACTGGCGAATTTGGCGCGCTTCGTGGCGACCGTGGCGCGCTTTGTGACGACTGTGGCGCGCGTCGTGACGCATGTGAAGCGCTGTGTGCCGAATGTAGAGGGCAGCGTGGCGACTCTGGCGCGATGACTGTGGCGCTCTGTACGACATGCTTTTATGGCAATGCGTGACGAATGTCTGCTGTCTAGGTGTTTGAACATACTAACATGTTACCGCACGTGTGTGTGTATACTATCATTAAGGTAATTTTGGCTCACTGTCACATGAAAAAAGTCACAAAAACCTAAGCCTACGCCTCTTTGAATTGGCTGCCGAGTAATGTATTATTAACGTTCTGATAATTTGGATATCGTGCAAAGACTTCAAAAGATGTTTCAGCCATTGTGATCTATATCACGCTGACTGGCTGTAATTATAAAGATAATGGGTTGGACAATCTAAATTTACCCCCAAATAACACCATAAAATGCAAATTAAGAATTATCGAGATAGCACATATAAAGGTGCTGAACTCATCAAGGCTGT